AATTTAGATAAACATTTAAGAGAAATAGTTAACAAACTCACACTGTTTGGCTACATTGTAGTGTATGCGGTTTGGTCATAAATCAATTAATAATTACTTTTAAAATCTATCCTTAACAAAAGAAAATCTATTTATTATTTTTGTCATCTTTGTTATTCTACTTTTAATAGTTAAATGCATTGTATTAATCTTTGTCTTAATAGTAAAAAAAAACTATGTTAATGTTATATATGTAAACGTCTAAATAATTTATATTCTGTTCATATGTATTGATCTCTGTATTTCAGGCTTATTCATCAATAAACAATTATACTAAAAATTCGACAGTGATGATTTTTGGGGGTAAAAAAATATTATAAAAAGCAAGGACAAACCCTTGCTGCCGGCTGTTCTTATCGTGCTCCGTATTATGCTATGCGAACGTCGTGATCGTCATTGTCGAAGTTTTTATGTGTTAATTTGTCAACTAAAAATTTGAACTTGTGTTATTGTATTTATCATTTTACCAATATTATCACTAAGGATATTATAAGAACCAGAGAATTTACCAGGTAAATTTTTTTTAAATCCATAAGAAAGTTTACATTGTTATTTTATGACCCTCGAATTACACCCCGAATCAAAAATAACTCTCACTCTCATTTTTTAATTCCAACAACAATAATATTGTGACTTTTTTTCTTTTACTCTTAAATTTTTATATTTTAGCTTCGATGCGAAGCGGAGAAGGTATTAATTTTACTATGTTTTACTATGTTTTTTTTTTTATGTCTGTTGCCACTTTTACTCAGCTCTCACTGGACCAATTTCTTTCAACGATACGTCAAAAGATCAAAAATCTTATCTATTCAAAGACTTTACCCTCAAATATTGAAAAAATTTGCCTTGTTCCCCGTAAATGGGGGAAATATCCAAAAAAATCGCTAATTTTCGAAATTTTTCACTTTTTTTTCTTAAAACTTCCATAACTTTTTGAAAAATCAACAAATCTACATAAATATTTTTTATACTAAAACCTTAGATATTTCCCTTTCATTTGATATAATTTTTTTTGAAAATCTATGACTTATTCTGCTCACTGGGGGGATTTAAAATATTACTTTTTTACAAAAAATAACTTTTTCAACTTAATTTTCGAAAATGTTCCGGAAATACTGGGTCCTTTAAACATATATCAAATTAAAGTTTATTTTATGTACTATAAAATGAAAAAAAAAATTTGTCCCGACAACCTATCTTCTATGCGCTAATGGCTACCGTATTCAAAAATATGCTATTTTTGTGTTAAAATCCTGGGTTTTGTATTTTATTTTATTTTAAAATATCTTATAAGGGCAATGCACTGATTTTAATGAATATTTTATAATTTAATTGTCAAAGAATAAAGTTCATTAGAGATAAGAAATTAAACTTATTAAAAATTTTTTACTTTTTTAAAGTCGAAAAAGTAATTTTTAAATTTGAGTTAGCTTAAAGCCAATTTTATCATGCGTTATACGCAACGAACAGTTGCCGAATGGGTAACATCTGTGTCTATCACGCATAGGGTACGTGGTTCAAATCCGTCTGTGACTATCAACATTTTGCATTTTTTTTTGAGTTAGAATAAAATGTTCAAATCATTTGATGTTTAACTCATTTAGATTCAATAACTTCAATAAATATAAAGGATTTTATCACTTGTAGTATCACATTTTAATACATGTAATAATTAATACTTATATTTAATAAAATATATCACCAAATCAGTGTTTCCCCGTGGATAAGATGAGTAATAAAATAATACCCTTACACAAGATTTAACCTCCCTTTTACGCATTCCATGAAACGCCCATGTAAGAGATTCTATCACATTAACCAATCAAATACAGCAAAAAATATTTCAAGAATCTCACCAGAGATCGCTAATCCAGTTTTGCGGGCTATAAAAAGGCCATTTACCCCCAAATTCGGGTGGTTCCTCTGTGCTTGGTTCTCTTACAGTGATTATGTACGATTTCTGAACATCCCTCTAGCGGATACTGGGACGCCTTGCCATTCCATCTATGCATCTCTACGGCTCTCTGGAATACTCAACCAAGATACAAAAAGTGAATGTGCGTGAGTTTATCTTTCATTCTTAGCTACAATTCTATATGAAATCTACATAATTTTTACCCCCTTTCGTAATTACTGAAAATATTATACATCTTATTTTCGGTTGAATACTTTTGGTGATATAAATATTCTAACACATATAAAATATTGGTGTTTATTTATTTCTTTTTATTTACATTTATATTCATATATATATAAGCATATTCTAAGGTAATTAATTTGATTGAATTGTATTTATTACTTATTGAAGGGCCACAACCTGGCTGGACAGAGTAATAATACAATAATATCATAATTAGAATTTTAATTAATTATAAGATTTTTTCAAAGTGTCTCTCCACTTATCGACCAGCTAGTCTGATCTCTGCCACAGTGCGGGCAATCAGAGTGTAGGACACTTATATAATTTATAACGCATGACTTATTAATATTATTTTGTAATATACATTAGATATTCTAAGGTTCTTAATTTGATTGAGTTGTATCTACTACTTCTTGAAGGGCCACAACCTGGCTGGACAGGGTAATAGTACAATAATATCATAATTACGATTTTAGTTAACCATAAGATTTCTTCATAGTGTCTCTCCACTTATCGACTAGCTAGTCTGATCTCTGCCACAGTGCAGGCAATCGGAGTGTAGGACACTAACATAACTTATCGTGCATAAATCTATAGTACAGTCGCATCTAACCTAGGTTTTTAGTCGTAATGACTAAAAATTTTTGTTAGTTAAATAAAATCAAAAAGTCCATAAAATCACGCTTTTAATAACAGAATATAAGATATTCTCATTTAAAACAAGCTGCGTTGAACCTTGTTTTATGTTTAAATTTGGTATCAAAATTTTATCACGGATTGTCGGACAAGTTCAAAATTTTAGGGTTTCATATTGTTTTTTTCTTCTTGTTAGTTTTTTTTTAAAAGTCATGAAAATTTCCTAGAATTTGTTAACATATTATCACACCTTAGATTATAATATTGATTAAAGCTGGAAATTTTTACGAATTATAGATTTATGAATTTTCTATTCTCTCCTAAATCTTTTTTAAGGAAAATTTAAATGTGCAAGTTTTTTTATAGTCATATTTTTAATCACATATTTCTAGTTATTTATTTTTCTGTTAATGGTTATGTAATTTATTAAAATAAATGCATATTTATGAATACTTAAGAATAATTATTTCAATAGTTTCTTAAAAATTTCAACTTAATTGTAAATATGAACATTTTTCAAATTTATGAAAAGTGATTTATTACAAATTTATCAAAAGTAACGAAATTCGAAAATTTCAGAATGAATACTGAAAGAAGATCTAGACTATTAACAAGAAAAATACAAATATCTTATATTTATATATTTGAAATTGCAAAATTCCTTATTTCATGTCCTAAACACAATAAATTAAATAATTATTAATGCTGTAAATTTATTCAACATTAATCATTATACAAGAACAAGGATATTAAAATTAAATCTTTTAGTAATTAATAAATAAGAACTATTTTAGAGATTGATGGTGTCGTTTTCCTATTCAAGAACACATCTACAATGGCAGAAATATGCTAAAATTGTAATTGTACCAAAGATGAACACAATAATTAAATTAGAAGCAAGACCTTTAGAATCGTGTGTATTATAAGTTTTACGTGCGTTACAAAAGGATTTATTTTTACTTATCTAATTATATTAAAAATAAAACAATTCATGATAATCTGAAACGAGTAGTTTTGGTTTTCGAGTATTGCGGAAATTTAGATGAAGATTGTATTTACTATAAATTATATAAGAGAACGAGGGGATGTCATGCGAGTTTTTTTACACCTTTAATTAATAAGAGAGAATCGTACGTGACATAACCATGCAAAATAAATTTTAATGTTTTAAATAAACTGTGAATTAGAACTATTCAAAAAAAATTTAATTATTTTTAAATAAAACGCAGAATCCCCAACACGAAATTTATGGAAAAATATAAAGAATACAATAAAATTGTATTGATTGTAACAAAATAAGCATTAAAGGTTACATCAGTGTATTTATCAGCTTTGAACCGTAAACATTGTGAGATATAATTTCATATTTTAATCTCAAATCAGCGGTTAATGTGTGGGTTGATGGAAGGGACGGAGTCCTCCTTCTAATTTAGAGAACAATATAGTGTCATCTTTAAGTCGAATCCAAAAATGTTTAACGGATGCTTTAATTTTTAGAACTGAAGAGTGGAAATTGTAAATATAAGAAATTTATTCGAATGATCAAAATTTCAAAACTGTTAAATGGAAAAAATTATAGGAGAACTAAAATTATGAAATGAAAGGAATTTTATGATACAATCATAGTATTATAAGTACTTGGAACATGGCGGAGCATGATATAATTTTTGTGATTTGTTTGTTTATGGATTATTCAAAAATTTAATTAATTAATTCTTTAATTTAAGCTTAAGAAACCATGTCATTAATTTATGACTACATATGATATTGAGAGACTTATTATATTAAGGGTTACAAAGTGATGGATATGCAAATTTAAGGTGATTTAAACATTTTTTATATTAATATAACCTACCAAGGTTGTTGATATTTTTTATAAATTATATTACTATATTCGTCATTTCATATTTCTATATATAGATACCTATCTAATTTTGTTATTGTTAATATTTTTTTTTTTAACTTAATTCTGTTATAACATAATATTTAAAATTAAAAAAAACTATTTTTTCCATAATGAATTAAAACTTTGATTCTGTCTTTGAGACGTTTTGTATAATTTTCATTTCTAGTTGATTTTTAATGAAATAACAAACAATACCTATATTATTCTAATGTACTCCTTCATTGAGATATTTTTAGCTTCGATGCGAAGCTGAGAAGGTATTGGTTTTACTAAGATGTGTTTATTTTTTTTTATTTTTTTTTTTGTGTCTGTTACCACTTATTCTCAGCTCTCACCGAACGGATTTCTTTCAACGATACGTCAAAAGATCACAAATTGTATCTAGTCGAAGACATTACCCTTCAAAATTGAAAAAATTTTCCCTCGTTCCCCGTAAATGGGGGAAACCTCCAAAAAAATTACAAATTTAAAAATCGCTAATTTTCGAAATTTTTCAATTTTTTTTACTAAAAACTGCCGTAACTTTTTCAAAAATGAACATATCAATATATTTATTTTTTTTATAAATGTTTGATGTCTTAACCTATCATTTGGTATATTTTTTTTGTAAATTTGACCCATTTTCTGCCCACAGGGGGGGATTTAAAATGACAACTTTTTCACAAAAAATTAAATTTTGAAAATGTTCCGGAAGGTCTGACACTTTTATATATATCTTAAATTAAAGCTAATGTAATGTACTTTAATTTGAAAAAAAAATTTTGACCTTTGGACTTGTCTTCATGGTGAAAACGGCTACCGAATGCTATTTTTGTGTGAAATTTTTCGATTTTATAATTGACATTTTTTACTTTAAAGTGCTATAACTTTTTAAAAAATGTATGGATCATACAATTTTTTCATGAGAAGTAGTATTTATATAGATCTTTTATTGGATATACTTTTTTTTTAAATCAGACTATTTCCCTATATATGGGGGGGCTTCAAATATAAAAAATGCATATAGAAAGTAGAACTTTTTCAACTTAACTTTTGAAAATGTTCCGGAAGGTCTGACACTTTTATATATATCTTAAATTAAAGCTAATGTAATGTACTTTAATTTGAAAAAAAAAAATTTGACCTCTGGACTTGTCTTCATGGTGAAAACGGCTACCGAATGCAATTTTTGTGTGAAAATTTTCGATTTTATAATTTACATTTTTTACTTTAAAGTGCTATAACTTTTTAAAAAATGTATGGATCAATACAATTTTTTCATGAGAAGTAGTATTTATATACATCTTTCATTGGATATACTTTTTTTTAAAATCAGACTATTTCCCTATATATGGGGGGGCTTAAAATATAAAAAATGCATATAGAATGTAGAACTTTTTCAACATAACTTTTGAAAATGTTCCGGAAGGTCTGACACTTTTATATATATCTTAAATAGAAGCTTATGTAATATCCTTTAATTTGAAAAAAAAATATTTGACCTCTGGACTTGTCTTCGTGGTGAAAGTTGACATCAAATTTAATAAAAAATTACGATTTTTGTAATATAATTTTTTTTTATATTTTTAACTTAATAATGCTCTAACTTTTTCCAAAATGAACATATCAATATAATTTTTTATAGATGCTTGATGTCCTTACTTATCATTTCGTATATTTTTTTTGTAAATCTGACACTTAACCTGTCCACAAATGGGGATTTAAAATGACAACTTTTTCACAAAAAATTTACTTTTTCAAATAACCTTTGAAAATGTTCCGGAAGGTCTGACACTTTTATATATATCTTAAATTAAAGCTAATGTAATATACTTTAATTTGAAAAAAAAAAATTTGACCTCTGGACTTTTCTTCACGGCAAAAATGGCTACCAAATGCTATTTTCATGTGAAAATTCTCGATTTTATTATTCATATTATATTTAACTTTATAATGCTATAACTTATTGAATAGTTTATGGATCCACACAATTTTTTTATGAGAAATAATATTTTTTAATAAACCCTTTTTCATTCGACATACTTTTTCTTAATCGAGATATTAAGGAACCATCAGATCAAGTAGCTTTTGGAATAAAACACCAATTTTTTTAAAATTAAACACTATCTAAAGATTTGCATCGAATCGTTTATTTTTGATAGTGATTTTAATCACTGTCAGATATCATTATACTTGATCCAACTAAACTACGTCACAACTGTGCCGCGACCCCCCTGTGCTGGGTTTTTATTAATTAAGTATATTTGCTTATTATGATCAATATAATTTTTAGCTTTTGAGGCTAGACAATTCGTTGTTGCTCGAAAATGCTCCTCATTTTTTAGGAACTATAGTCCCCCATTCTAGTTATTACCATTTTAATCACTGACTCAAACCAAAATGTTATTGTACCTATTACTTTAAACGATACAACTAAAATATATACAAATATATTAAATTTATCAGTTATAATAGTGTTTTTTAAAGCAAAATTTAAAATTATTATCATAATCAGAGTTTTACTTACTGTCTCCAACTAATTCGATGAATAAATATTCAATTTCATTTTCATTATAATCGTGTAATTTTACAAAAATATTCAGCAGGGTTGTAAATTTATTAAAGTCCATACCTTCTTCATCAATTACATTTTTTTGAAATATAACTTTTAATTGAGTCTCACATTTATCAGTCAATTTCGATTCCTAAAATAAATAATTGATTTATTAGAATTTAGAATAAATAACAAAATGACTTTAAATTTTTAGTAAAATGAGTGATAACCACTGATTAAAATCTTTATTATATAATACGCATCGATGCAAATTTCTAGATAGGGTTAAGTTTTTAGAAGGAATTGTTTGATTATTCCAAAAGCAAATCAACTTTTATTGCTTAAATTGTATCCTGATATAAACTTCTATGAATTATAAATTACATGAATAAATAATTATTATAGTAATTAAGTTTTGTATTATATTGATATTTTATAATTTTATAGTAAAATATATAAAAAAAAAAAAAAAAATTATAAAAGAAAATATTTATAATTAACACTGAAATCTTATATAATTTATTTTTCTTGTAAATGAGGGGTGATAAATGGAGCAATTACCTCTCACAAATTACATTTAAACAAATATATTAGTCTCAATAATTAAAATAAATTCCTTCATTTCCTTAAATGGGGGAAATCCTCCCAAAAATTACAATTTTATACTTTTTTTTCTTAAATCTGCCATAACTTTTTAAAAAAATAGATAAATAGAAACAATTATTTTTATATATAGATATATTAAGCATTTACCTATCATTTGGTATATATTTTTTTTGTAAATCTGACACTTCACATGTTCTCAGGGGGGATTCAAACTGATTTTCATAAATTATATAAATCAAATTGACATAGTATATAAAGTTAAAGTTATTTAAATTTTTTTTGCTTTTTTAAACCAAGAAAAATAATTTCGAAATTTGAACTTTCCTGAATTGTCATTTTTATTGACCGTCGAATGCGACGCACAGTCGTCGTGTATGTAACACTTGTGTCTCTCACGCTTGAAGTACGATATTAAATCGCGTCTGTAGAAATGAATTTTTTGCTTAATTATTTTTGAGTTAGAAAAAAATTAACTTATTTGATTTTTATCTTATTTAGATTCAATAACTTCAATGTTTATTAAGGACCCCATCACTATAGTTTCCTCTCTCGAGAAGAAATTTTTTATTTTGTAAGGTTTCAGCCAAACAGAGGGTTTACTAATTACCCATTGCCCAGGGGGAACACTGGACAGTGACCTAGTAGCCGCGTCAAACAAGATATTACTTGCTGACGGAGCTACTAGGTTTTGATAAAAACAAAAAAAAAAACTAATATTAATAAAAATGAGGGAAAAGTATAGAGAAAAAAAAAAGAGGCCATGTATAATATAACATCATTTTTTTTAATTATTTAATTAAAAAATGTATCATTACTATTTAAGATATAAATATATTCATAGAAAATGACTATGAAAAGGAGAAGAAAAAAAAAAAAGAGGTGCTTGATACATAAAATTTAAAAGAGGTAAAAATGGGGTTTCTTGATGTTGTACTTGTTGTTGATTGTTGATTTGAGGAGTGACAGCCCACCACCGGCCATAGTTGTGCCTTACGCCATAATCATCATCATCATCACCATCTCGACGTTTTGTTAAAATAAAAAAACGGAGGACAAAAACACAACGACACCACTTGGTGGACAGCAGATCCACTCGACGTTTTATTTTGATAAAAAAAAACGGAGGACAAAAAAATTACAATGAACAGCCTGGTTGACGGCCGGTCGACTCAACGTTTTATTTTGTATAAAAAAAAAAACGGAGGACAAAAAAAAAAATACAAAAACGTGGTTTTCATAAAAAATACAAACGGACAACTTGTCGCCTCGGCAGTATAGGTGGAAAAAAAAAATCTGTTGTAGCGGCATTTGTGTAGTGGCCGGTGATCATGATGTCGCCGGGTGGTGGGGGTGCCAACTTTGAACTGGTTCATAGGGAGAATACAAAAGTGTAGGTATGCACTGTGTGCGGTCAACTGTCACAACAAACCGGGTACTGACTATTGGATCGGTTGATTGGTATATAAACTAATTTAATAATTGGGAACATACATAATACCTAATGCACACACTATTAACTGATAAGATTTATATATTAAAAAAAAAACTTGTATAAATTCTGCAACATTACAATTTATATTAAAATTATTTTACTAAGTATTTCTATTTTTTTTTTTTGTGTCTGTCATTCATATTTTTAAGCTCTTATTTGACCAATATTTTCAACGATACGTCAAATGATTACAAACAGTATCAAGTTAAAGATATTATCCTAAAAAATTAAAAAAATTCCCATTTATTAAATAAAAAGTTGCTTAACCAGCTTTCTTTATACAAGCAATAAAAATAATTCATATTTAATATTTTTAAATTATTTATTGTTGAATTTGATTTGATATGTTAATAGGTTTCAACTACAAAATTAAATAATTTTTCTTTGGAATTTATTATTTTTATAACTCTATTTGTGTGTTTTACTACCAGTCTATAATACTGCAATTTTTTTATTAAAATGTTGCTATATACTATTTCAAAAAAAAATAATTTTTAGTAAATGGAGGAAGTCCTCCCAAAAATTACAATTTTTTTTCTTAGAATTGTCACAATTCTTTGAAAAATAGATAAATAAAAATAATTGTTTTTATATATACAGAGTGATTTTTTTATCATAACCCACTCAATTACTTGCAGAATAATAATAATTTAAACATTTTTTTTTTCATTATCTTTAGTTACACATTATTCCTGAATTTTTAACTATTCAAAACTTTTTAAGTTCATCCCTTATGCCTTGTAAGGGTGTCAACTTTGTTTTTTTAAATGGGAACATATATTTTTAATTTAATAAAATTTTTGCATTTTTAATTCAATAGTAAATGGCATTTGAATTTTTAGTATCACTTTACTAGTTTATTAGATATAAACATATAAAGTTTCAAAATTTTGAGTTAATATACATGTATAATACATATGGGATTGTAAATACAAATAGCTAATTAGATTTTTATGAGACTGCGGCCACTGTCACGGATTATTTATTATCAATTATGACTATCAATAGATATACTTTCTGTTTTGTCAGTTAGTGTATTTATAAACTCATAACAATGTGCCTTACTACAATTGATAATAACAATGCTGTGTACCTGCTAATATCGATGTTATAAAAAACCAATTAGCTACCTGTATTTACAATCCCATGTGTATTATACATGTATATTAATTCAAAAGTTTGAAACTTTAAATGATTATATCTTATAAACGAATTAAGTTATATTAAAAATTCAAATGCCATTTACTATTAAATTAAAAACTCAAACATTTTATTAAATTAAAAATATGTGTTACCATTTAAAAAAACAAAGTTGACCCCCTTCCAAGGCATAAGGGATGAACTTAAAAAGTATTACATAGTTAAAAATTCAGGAATAATGTGTAACTAAAGATAATGAAAAAAAAATGTTTAAATTATTATTATTCTGCAAGTAATTGAGTGGGTTATGATAAAAAAATCATCCTGTATATATATATATATATATATTAGGTATTTACCTATCATTAGGTATATTTTTTTGTAAACCTGACCTTTCATATGCCCACAGGAGGGATTCAAAATGATAACTTTTCCAGAAAAAATGAACTTGACTTTTGAAAATGTTCTGGAAACACTGACTTTTTTGTACAAATAATAAATTAAAGGTTATGTAATATATTTCAACATAAAAAAAAATGTTGAATTTAAGCTTGTCTTCATAGTGATCATGGCTACCATATTCAATAATTTCCTTTATTAGTGTTAAAATGTTCAGTTTTGTATTTTATTTTATTTTAAAATTTTTTAAAAAGGGAGTTCACTGATTTTCATAAATATTATATGAATCAAATTGATATATAATTTATTATATTATATCGATTATATTGATGTATAATTATTTTTGGTCGAGATCTCGTTTATTGATATAAAAAAAAAAACATTATAGAATTATTATCTGTACGAATTAGCTTAATTTAAGAAAGAGTTTCATACTTAACATTTTGACTATCGACGATTTTTACACAATCCATTAAAAAAAAAAGTAAATTTATGTTATTCATTACATTAACATTGTAAAATATAATATTGGACTGGTTGATTAAGGTGTATAGTTACGTTACATGATATCCGTGAACTGGTTTGCCGTTTTGCTGCCTTAAAGAAGTTATAATAACCTAACGTGATTTCTACTGTATAAGTAATCACTACAAAAGGTATTCTTGAACTGTGTCGTAATATACTCAATGCTTTGCATTACGCATCTTACAATTATCAATGAAAAATTTATAATCTTTATTTTAAATAACTTGTAAACAAACAAATAATTTATCTGTCATAATAAATACGATGTTCAACATAATTTCTTATTATATATATATATTTATTTATTTTATTTTATTTATATAAGTTTCAAACGGAATTCAAACGGAAACCCAATTACAAAAAAATTTTAAGTAAAAGTAACATCATTCGTAACAATATTATTAATAAAGAAAAACAAACAGTGAAAATGAAAAAAAAAATTAACTAATATAACTAAGAATAAACTATTACAAATATAGTAACAATTAGTGCTTGTAGGACGATGTACAATGTAAGTATACCGTAAAGCAAGAAATAACAGAAAAATTTTAATTTTAATTTTAAATAAAACTAAAAAACGTGTGAATTATAAAATATGAAATTGCAATAAGTTTAAAATGAGTGGAAGTTTGGTGAGATGAATAAATCAATTTTTAAATTATTAACTGTTTTCATAATTCTGTTTATGGGAGAGTTACTATCATAGTTAGTTGTTGCAGTGTTAATGTGAAATATTTTTATATTACGGGTGCTACAAGATGGTACATGAAATGAAAATCGATTCAAAAGTATCGGACAATCTATTTGACCAGCAAAAATTTTAAAGGTAAAATAAATATCTAACCACATTCTTCGTAGTTCCAATGTCTCAAGATTCATAATTGCTAATAGAGGGGTGTATGAAGAATGAGGTTCTCTTGGTATTAAGCACTTCAAAGAAATAAAGCGTAAGAATTTTTGTTGAATTTTTTCTAATTTTAATTTATAAC